CACCAAGATGTCCGACTCGGTGAGCCGAACGCGAAAATCAACGGGGACAAAAAGATCGACAAGCGGCTCCGGCAATCCTACTGCCGCGCTGAACAAAGTCCTAAATGCTCCTCGGTTATCGGCAACGAAATTTCGTACCAAGGAGGATGTTGATGAGGGGCTCAAGAAATTACGTCGGTTGATCTTGTTAGATGGCATCCCAACCTCGGAGGTGAGGACCTTGATTTCAGAAAAATGGACCATTAATGTCTCCTTAAACAGGATCCCACTCTACGTCCTCGTGTGTGGAAACTTCTGCTGCGTGTAGATGGACCCCTTGCGGGAGACACTTACATCCAGTATATTGCTCGTGGAGCTAGTCCAGACAGGGAGAAAATCAGAAATGATACATTCCGGTGAGTCAATTATTTAGCCCCCTTGTACCCCTGGCCAACTTTGTCTTGTAGAACACTCGCCACAGACATGGAATTCAAGTCTCGGGTCCGAGAAGATATGCTTGTCCGTCTTCTCGATGCCTTTGTTTGGAGAAATCATGGTTAGTGGACTCCATATACTGCTGATTTAATTCTGATGGGCCGTCATTGTATTTTGTCGTAGACCGGCAGTCTCCTACACACTTACCATTCCGCTACGTACAAGGCATGAATGTCCTCGCTGCACCTTTTTTATATACCCTTCCATCGGAACTTGAGGCGTTCCACTGTTTCTCAAGGCCAGTCAAAGCTGCACTGAGCCTGTTGCACTTTGGTATTTATCATATCCCCTATCTTTCTTTAGGTTTATTGAAGTTGAATGCCCACTCTACGTACAACCTACACTTGAAGGCGTTCACAGGGGACTAAAAGTAAGTTCGTTCCTCCATTTGCCATGGTAAAGTCCAAACTTAACATACGCTTAGCTTCTCGACCGATGCCTCCAAATCGCCGACCCTGAGCTCTTCCAACACCTTCGCTCGAAAAACCTTAGTGCAGAAATCTATGCTTTCCCATGTACGGTTGACGTTTTCTTATTACTCCCACCTCCCTAAATCTTAAACTTCATTTTTGATGGCTGTGGCGTGAATACCGGTTACTTACTTGTCATGTTCCCAGCTGTGCTCACACTCTGCGCGTGCACACCACCACTCGCAGAAGTTCTTCGTCTCTGGGACTTCCTCCTCGCTTTTGGTGTGCATCTAAATGTGTTATGCGTCATTGCTCAGCTCTTCTTGATGCGGGATTCCATTCTTGCAAGTTCAAGGTGCGTACTCACGGTGTTCCCTCTGGCCTCCCCTTCTCCTTCTCAACTTCTACGTCGCTCAATCCTACAATACCTGTTTTTGCTCACTCTGTTAACTTGATATTATTTGAACCTATAGTCCTATGAAGCTACTACGTACTTTCCCCGCCCTTACGGCTCAGCCTATTATCGAGATCGCCGTCGCACTCGTGCGAGACCTCCCTGCTGATGTGTATGACGAGTTAGTCAGACATCCTTATGAAATTCTTCAATAAGGTGTTGGCAAGGAAGGTTCGATGGAGTGGCTATGCAAAGCAAGCCATTGGCGGAGGTGGGATACAGGGTATCTAGACTCGTGGGCTGGTCCTACTTGTGAGCTCAATTGCTATGTCGTTCATCGGTCTCACATTGTGTATCATACTACAGTCTCGGGTTTCGATAAATAGATCATTTCGTGTGCAATAGGCTCAAAATGAGGCCTTAGTTTCAGAGTGTAGCAAAGTTGTTAATATGCTTTGTAAATGGCTGAGCGACAAGACGTCCCTTCAGCGCCAGGTATTACTAGTTGAGACGGACCCGCTCGATGGCGTTGTATAGCTCCGGTTTGGATCAGACTCCCAAACAACCTGATGCATGGGTCAGTAGTACACCAGGGTAGTATTAACACCATACTTGCCGTGCCGGTCGAAGTCTTCCGGATGTATTTGTACTCGAATGTTGTGCTCGCCGGGAGTGACACTGTGACTGCCCAAGTCGGATAGGCAGCGGATGACATAGCAATCTGAATTAAGGGTAGTCAGCTCAATTATCCTCTAAAATTGGAGGGCTGCACGTACGGCGCTGGCGGCGGTCCAGGTACCCAGTTGGCTGATACTCCCTACTACAAAGATATTCTATTTACGAAGTGCCTTTAGTTTTCCGAGCTCAGCTGCGCTATTGGATCCAATAACTTACATCTCCATATGTAGTGGTCGCGTACTCTTGAAACGTGATAGACACAGTTCCACCACCACCACTCGACCCAGTACCCAGCGCTCCTGTGTAAAGCGCGATAGCACTGCGAGCAGCAACTGCAACACTAAATGAGCCACTCGCTACGGTGTAGCTATATTGCATCCGCGTTAGATAACTCATAAAGGGATATATTAGTATAAGAGCACGTACGATGTTCCAGTGCATGTGCCAGAGGATACTGGCCCCACAATGACATTGCAGTAGGACCCATTCGGGAGAGACGTAGTGAATGTGGCTGTCCAAGCGGAGTCTGCATTGTTGATCGCTACGAACCCGATTGCACCTGAAAGACATCAATTTCACATAAGCATGCATACATTCACCTGAGGTCCCAGTAAAATAGCTTGCCTCTTCCGAATGCAATCTGTTGGTTCGTTCCGGTTTGCCAGTTTGTCAAAGACGTGCCAGACACTGCGTTGAACCAAGGAACCATCCCTGCAACCGCAGTCCAGCGGTGCTGGCAGAGCCAGCCGTTCGTTCCGGTAGAGCCGGAACAGGTCCCGGCTCCGGAGTTTGGCGCACCATCATCAGTAGTAGAAAATGAATAGGAAGAAAGAATGGTGGGTGTTCCATAGGGGTACGAGCTATTTAGACATGTTTATTGAATAAGCTGCTCATATGGAGGAGAGATAGAGCGAACTTACAGGGAAAAGACCATGGCAAGGGTATATATGTTCGACGCCGAGTTGTAGTTGAGCGAGTTCCCATTGCGTTCTGTGTCGTGATTCGCCTGGATAAAACTGCCAGATTAGAGGTCAGATATGATATCTTATAGTACACTTACAACGAAGACATTCGCACCGCTGCCGCTGACCCAGCCTATGGGTGTATCAGCCCATGTCAATTCAGGAAAGGGGGCTATAAATGCATACCGTTGTTCTCAAGGCCGTTCAAACTCGATATCCCGTTGGAAGTAAATGCGCTTTGAACGGTCGAGGTGTATCTAAACTCTTGTACGTCGCCGTTTCCAGTATACTCTGATGGAGTAATGGGCTCTCCAGCACCGTAGATGACCTGGAATTTGAGATGAGCAGTATATCCAAGTACTGGGGGGTGACTGAAATTACCTCTTGAGTAATATAAACAGTGGTAGACAACCGGCTGAGGATGTTGGCTATGTCCGTAGTGGCAATGTCTGCGAAACGCAATACTATAATCAGCGAGAGCTCGCAACGGCGAATAAGTCATACTAACGTTTAGCAGCGTCAAGGCGAAGTCCAACCACACCTAGCGAGATCAAGTCATTCGCGTAGGTCGCTAGTCTTGCCCGAACGTATTCCGTATCTGTAGCAAGACTAATTAGGGTGGTGAGCCAAGAAGCAGGTGAGATTGATGCAGAATCTGGACGAACTCAGCAAGGTTGTCTAGCTGGCAAGTTTGTACCTCAAGGCGGTTGTTGTAGTTGACTATTTCATCATTAGTCTCGAGTCCGCAATGGTGAAAGTCCTGGTTCTGATAGATTCCGGGGTATACATAGTGGGCTTGGAACGGTTAGATAATATTGGGTAAGTTATATAACATGATACTCACTGAAAGCTAAACGGGGAGGACGTTAGAGACGAATCACTAAGCAGTTGGAGACTCATGACGTACTTGAACCTGCGACACCTGTGCCAGAATCAATACCCGCCATGTGGTTGAAGATCGCGTCTGCAATTACACCAACGCCCGCGGTCTGAAACCTACGCATAAGCGCATATAGATATCCAGGCAGCTTGAAGTACGACAAACCTTGCAAGTGGTAATCATACTCTAATAGGGGTATGCCTGTAAGCCCGCATTTATACGGCGAGATCAGTGTAGACATACCTGAAATTGAGATCGACTACCACGCTTTGAAGTGAGTATATAGGATACTGGCTGGTAGTCAGTCCACCATTGTGAGCCAGTAATATGCTCCGCTGGAGGAGATACCTATTATATGTCTCATGAGTGATAGTTGTTGGCAGTTGTTGGCAAAATAGCAGTTTCTCACTTGAACATACCCATAACCTGCCGGTCCGAGAAAGCTAGTACACTCGGCGGCAATGCTATCCCAGGTCCACTCAAACATTTGTACAATCACCTCTGAATGAAAGAATTAGTGTCAAGCAATAGAGTATAATAAAATCCAAGTACTGTGCGAGGCAGATGGTGCGCGCTTTTCGACATGTGGGGTGGGACTTCCATCAGCGAGTATAGAGAATGCTATAAGTGCTACAAGTGCAAAGCTCGAGGGATACATGGTGGTTGCAAGTTGTGGTCGTAACTAACACCCAAAGGAGCTAGTTAAGTATGGCTCAGAGTGTGTGGGAGGTGCGCATAAAGTTGAACCGAAGACTCCGGGATATCTAGATGGAGGACTGAAAATGCCTCCGCAGCACTCTGTTTAGAACACTATTGTGATGATAGGCAGCGCTCGCAGCTTCTCTCGCCAGCTCGAGGTCACGAGCCCAATCTTAAAAAAGCGCAACACGTCAAGTGATGTGAACAGAACATTCGATCAAAGCAATATTCCTACATCCAGAACCATCAAGTTGAAGGATAGGTAGATAGAACAAGCCGAACAGGTATTCATGAAAATTCGATTTGCTAGAAGACCTCCAATTGGTAGGACACTAGTGATCAGTACTCTCAATGACAAGAACAACCCCAAATAGAGCCGAAAGTTCCGCCTGGGCTACCAGAAACCTATAAAGTATATTCACGGCGTAATTGTCGAGTTTGAGGGTAGCGGTCCTGGTCAGCTAAGTTATCGTTGAGGACAGCAGTGTGCAAGTCACGTGAATACGCCGGTGGTGAAACGGTTATCATCCTTGCCTTCCATCCCATGACATGTGATTAGAGTGAGCAAGGGGCGGGGGTTCGACTCCCTCCCGGCGTAAATGTTTTGGCTCTCCTTGTCTGACCCATGTCCTTTCTTCAAATCGCTGTTTTTATCTTATTTTGTCGTCTAGGTTACTTTGCGGATTTGGGTGCTCGGTTCCTCGAAGCATGAGAAGTCTAGTCTACCTGGAGCGCTTGCAAATATGCATGGAGACGAGGACATTGACTACCCACGTGAGTCAACCGAGGATTGACATATTCCAGCTGCTAATACAACCACGATAATTGGATTATACAACAACTAATGTTAGCTTTGATACATGCACAGCTAGAAGATTCTCGTCGAATTCAATCAGGTCTACACATGCGAGAACGCAGCATGCTGTTATCCGAGCACAGGTTATAAGTGTACCTGAGGCGTTATCAAAGGAGGAGCTCCTGCTTGCATACGCTGTGGATCTAGCTCTACTATGAAGTTATTGAGGTACAGATAACCCATCGCTGGGGAGGGACTTGTTAGTTGGACGTATGCTAGGAACCAGCCTGCCCCCAATCTATAAAGGTAAGCATTGTTTAGATCCCTAATTTTTGAGACTAGTATATACACAAACACCCCTAGTGGTTATCATCGATTTCTTTCTGTTTCGAATGTTATAAGAAGGCAAAAATCGGACTAGGGTAAGTCGAATATATGTGGGACTTTCACTCCGGGTTCCTAAAGGAACTGCAGGTCATGGACTTTACCATGAATGAAAAAAGTTAGATAAATTAGGGGTCAACTATTGTTCGCGGACGAGTCATTCATGTGGACAAAAATTCCGCCGAAATTAAGCTCGAGTCCCTATATGCGTGGGTTTGGGTGAGAGGTTCGCGGTAATCGGAAGAACGGAGAGGTGTGTCACAATAGCTATGACAATGAGGTTTTCATCTAAAGATATAAAGTATTCCTATAGGAATAGCGCCTCACTAGATGAAGTTACCTAAAATACCGAAAGGTTTAAACAATGCGAACAGCCAGCAGCACATGCCATGCTGGTACTTGCCAGCTCCAGCATCAAAACAATCATTCCATAGCGTTACAGTACATGTTAATTGTTTGCCATCTCCACGATGACCCAGAGTGGTGAGACTCCAAGAACGTAGCTTAATGAGCAAAGAATTTAACATGGTGCACAGGGGCTCCATCTAACAACCAAATGCTTCCAAAAAGGCATGCGAAATTCTATTTTGAAGACCGACTCGTCGCCATTCAGGTCATAAACCTCCATCCCCCCCGATCGCCCTGGTTGATTTGACTTTATGATATATAAACAGGTGGAAGATACATTATTTAATGTGCACAAATCTCAACTTCTCAAATCTGAAACGTTCTCGGACATGTTCTCGCTTTCAGACAAGGGCGCCAAAGATCCCGCCACGACTGAAGGATCAGAGAGCCACCCAATCAAACTATCGGGAGTGAGCGCCTCCGATTTCGAAAACTTGTTGACTGTGTTATATGCATAGTAGGCATGCTTCAGATATATTGTTGGACTGTAGCTGATAGGCGCGCGGAACACACTCAGTCACTTCTCCGAGGACAAACCGCCGTCGGAGGCTACATTACTTGTACCCGCTCTCCGTCTTGCGAACATGTGGAACTTCAGTGCCTTGCGCGCCTATCTAATCCCATTGACCGCGGCAGTTTTGAACGATGTTGACAAGATCGTCTACGCACGAGAATTTGGGGTGTCTGAGTGGCTAGGTCCTGCCCACATAGCTTTATGCCAACGGCCGAACCCACCCGACATAGAAGAATCGAACAAGCTAGGGCTCCAAAGCTTGATGGTCATTTATAATCTAAGAGAGAAGTCCCGCTCCAATCCACTTCCATATTCCCAAGGTCACTCGTTTTAATGCAATTATTGTGGTACTAGTCGCATGTGCTCGGGTTCACAAACTACTCCCTCCATCAACACAAGCATTATTACTTCTGGTATCAAGGCTTGGATTGATAGTAATTTCAAAAGATTGGAGTAGTGTTTGTTGGTCGTTCTATTTCTCGCTGAAATAAAATCAATTGTCGTACGGTCTTTTTGAAAGGGCTTCCAAAAGACAGTCACTTCCAGAAGGAACCCCAAGGAGGGCAGGCTCTCCTTCAATAAACTTCTTCTTTTTTAGTGCGCCGTTGTATGAATGTATAAAAGTGAAATGCGATTGCATAAAACAAGTCGACTACAGCATGTCATACCTCAGACCCCACCAGGACTGAAGATCATTGAATTTTGACCAGTATCGCGCACTGCACACTGACCAAAATATCCAACTCATCATCAAATCCACCCAACCTAAAACCTAGAAGTTTACTTCTTCTTGGTCTTGGTCGCCGAGAGCTCTTGGACCTCGAGACCTAAAGTGAGAACTTACACGTTAGCTCAAGATTCGGGTCAGAGGTGAAATAGTGAGGTTCGAATAAAACACCGGAGTGGTGAGAATATGTGTAAATGCAATCGACACTCACCGGGAGGTAGGCCCAGCTTGAGCTTCTCGGCCTTTTCCGCATCGTCAAGCGTCAGAGTATAGAGGTACCGCGAACACCTGATTTTAAACTTGGTCACGGCCTTTCCGCCAGCGACCTTAGGAGGAGTCTTCTTGACGCGCGCGGCTGACAACAAAATAAGATCAACTACACACTTTACAGTAATAACAGTAGGACCTACATTTGGCATCCTTTCGGCGCGCAATAGTAATAAACTCCTTAATGTCACGGATCTCCTTGGGCTGCCGAAACAATTTCTTTAGACTTCAAGGTCACACTATCTCGTCAGTACTTGCACTCACCATTTTGGCGTCTAGCTTGAGGTATCGTGTACCAAGGAAATTTACATCCGATTGTCCCCGCAGTGACTTTCAGTCACGTGCCTCAGTGGCTTCCAAAGTGGTAGCATACAGCACCATGCAACGGCGTCTGCTCAATTGACTCCTAAGCCCCAAGCCCCACTATGTCGTCTAGCACCAGAGTGATATACTTGTTTTCAGATACGCGTTAATCTAGTTATGAAAGTGATAATCATAATAAAGCATTCGCAAAATTGAAATGAAATGAAACGAGATGAATGTTGGTAACATCTCCCACTCAAATCATCTCGGTTTGGGTCCCCAGCATCGTAATTTACGCCGAGCTCCCCTAGCAGAAGTACAAACCCGGAGATAAGCCCTCGATATCCTGAGCTATATACACTTTGGGCTTTGCAGGGCGCCGGGAAAAGGCATCCGTATTTGAGACTTGCTCAGGTTCCTTTGTGGCATCTACAAAGGAGCAAATTTGCCTACGCTCCATCTATGCGTCCCGAGACTTTCCATAGGTCACATACCCAGCACGTTTCTGATCACATATACATTGTACGCCACGTTGCATTCTGGTATATACTGGCGAGGCGGGCGCGTCTCACCGCTAGCGAACGCCAGAGCACTTGGAACCTGGCCCAAGCCCGGAACCTCTTCCCTTTTAGGTCCTTCGGCTCGCTTGAACGTCGGCGAATGTCCAGATTCCTCAAGTCTCTATTCGTTCGCGGTCGGGACAGGAGCGTTCCTGCGTTTCCTTTACCACTCGAAATACTCGAGGCGATCGCCGCTCTGCTTGCTTTGCCGGATCTGTACCGGCTTGTGCGAGTCAGCCGAGCTTGCCGGGAGGTGGTAGAGCCTTTTTTGTATGTGAATCTACCTCTATCCAAGTATCCACAGCGGGCGCTACGATGTTGTGCGACGCTGCTGGCTCGACACGATCTCGCGCGAGCTGTGATCAGCTTCAGTGCTGAAACAGCCAGTCCTTGGAATCGCGTCAAGCTTGCACACCCACTGGAGTCTGTACAGATCACTGCGTTAAGAGAGGTGAGGGAAATGCTCGAAATTGTGCCCAAATTAAAGTGCTGACACGAAACTTCAACCGAACAGGCTGTGGGGTTGAAATATCTTGATCTTGGGTGCATACCGATTTTAGCTCTCGACATCCTAAATCATTGCACTTTCCAGTTGCGACACTTAGCCTGGGATACAGTTGACTGTCATCCCATACTACACACATTTCTAGAACGACAACCTTCGATCCAGTCCCTTGCCCTCACCTCGCTTCAATCGTTTCCCAGCTTACAACCTGTTCATGTCCCACATCTTCGTTCGTTCTGTGGGCATGCGTCTCTTGCCGCCCAGATTATACCAGGCAGACCTGTAGAGACAGTGATCATCAAAGGCGATCCTATATATCCCGACTTGCTCGATGCTCTTCAAAAAATGGGAGCTTCCAATAGCCCTGTGCGCGTCCTGGAGCTCTATTCTACTGGGCTAAACTTGGGGACCAGTCGAGAATGGTCTACACCGCGAGGGTTCTTTCTTGAGTTGACATCAGCTCTTCCTCAGTTGCGAAAGCTGAAAGTCATGCTGCGAAATGAAGGGGATAAAGATCTAGTGGCAGCGCTAACAGAAACGGTATGCCCTTTACAAATCAAATCCACTGATAACTTATTTTTCTATTGTGTGTTTAGATAAATCATTTCATCAGTCACTTGAAGGACCTCCGCTGCTTCGTGATAAAAACGGACATCGAATCTTTTCCAATATACACTTCGTATTTCAGCGATCAACAAGAAATTGAGCAGTGTCAATTATGGCAAAAGTCTTGCCCACACCTAGTGGAGGTCGAATACCTCTCTGGTCAGCGATGGCGTCTTGTTGAGGACCGGTGGGTTAGGATACATGCGAGCCGCTGTTTCGAGGATAAAACTGCTGAAAGGATATGGTACCGAGATCTGAAGCCTCCACGCGCCCATTCAGCTCCTGTTTGATGTGTCTTTTAGGTTTTTGTCGTTCGTTATTGTTGTTTGCTTGTTTGTTACACGCGTGTATGTTAGTCAGCATCCCTGAAGGCAGATCCAATAATTTCTTGAACTCGACTCTCTCCAAATGGACGACTTGTTTTCGCACATCACTGGGGACAATGACCCAGCTATGGACCGCCCGCTTGGAGGGTCAAAGCCCAAGAAGAAGAAGAGAAAGGTTGTCGCGGACCCAGCGCCGGAGTCT